GAGCAGTAACAACACTTTTGCATTCTTCCAACTCTACCTAATTCCACTGAAATTATTAGTCAATCTTACACTGCTTTCAGGGGAATAAGATTAGAACCCACAACAGGGCATATAACATATTTAAATATGGTCATACCTTCCATCATACGCTTGCTTCAGAGAACTGGGAATTTTGAGACTTCAGTGCAGCCCAGGAGTTTTACACCAACATTGTATTTATATCCTGACAAGTTCCATGTAAAATGCCACAGTCTAGGTAACACAAACCAAATCTGTGACTACCACTCATTATGCTGAATTGGAAATAAATAGTTTTGAGTGAAGTAGATGACTTTCTAGCCCAGTAAAGGGTTTTGGATTTGGGTTTGGTTTTCTTCCAAGTAAAACTGGGATTATCAAAGGCTGAATTTAGAGGCTAGGTAATATAAAATGTTAGTACTTTATTATGGATCTGTGTTGCACAATAGTGGTACTGTTTCTTGTGTTGCTGAAATCAGTGGCAAAGCCCTTTTTTAAGCCGGCAGAATTGAGTGGGCCTACAATCTCATGTTGTAAATTTGTAATACTTTACACTGCGTTTACTGAAAGGAAAGAGAAATAATGATCTCAGCATGCCATCTGCCAACTCTCCAGCTGAATGGAACAGACTATGTCAGTCAAAGGGTGAGATATGTCTTTAAATTACTTTTGTGGTTTTGTGGGGTTTTTTGTTCTGGCTTTTTGGGTTGCTTAGTAACAATATTCTGTGTGCAAATTCGTAGCATCTGTGCAGAATGTGAGGTGTTAACATGTTTGTAAAAATTAAGAGTCCAATTAATGTTTCCTCTGCAGAGCTTTAACATTAAATGGCTCCTTCCCTTTTTTTCTCCCCTTCTAAAAATTACCTGCTTTTAGAAAAAGTAAAGACAGATTTGTGTCTTAGAACAGTGTAAAATAATAAATTTGCGTTTCAGTACTTCTCAAATAAGTAGCTATTGCTTTTAAATGGAGAATACAGCAGAATTAAGTAACTTGGAAAACATAAGTGGATTTCAAAGGTCTTATAATTCTGTCTCTGTGGTTAGTAGCTGCACACAGGGTAATGTCTGTGAACGATTACATATCTTCCAATTAAACCACTGAACAAAGCACTCTGTCAGAAATCTTACTTGATGACTTGCAGAACTGTGTTAGATTTAAAACAGAGAATCAAATACACTTTAACAGACTTCATACTCCATCTTTTTGGCTCCATATAGCAGAAGGTCTACTGGAATCTATCCTACTATTCAAAATCTATTCAAAAATAAAAGAAGCTAATATAGGATGTGTTGGACCAAACCAGCTTCTATAAGGAGACATACCTACCCCTGTACAGTCACTAAACAGTCAGTAGGGAGAAGCAGGCTCTCCCAGACTGTAAGTCATCTGCTGTCTTTTAGATACGTGTCTTAGGGTGAGATGAATCACCTCTCTTTCTGTGGTGACTGAGCCAAATGTGGCTAGACAACCTCTCACTTTTAAGGCAGTTCAGGTTTGGTAAAATTAATCCCACTACCCAAGATTTTTTTCCCCCCAACGATACAGTATGTTTTGCCTTTGATCAGTTTTGGCAAATAAAAGATTTTAGAGGGGGGGGCATCTGCAGCAGTCCTGACTCAGACAAGGTTCACATTGACTCCAGTGGGAGAACAGGGTGAGAAAACACTGCAGGACTTCTCTTCCAGTAAGTGAAGTATTTTACTGTTCCTTTTCTTCATTAGAGACATTGTGTTCTATGTTTCCATTCCCTTTAATTACTGGCTAGAGATGATGCCAGCAGACAGTTAGGTATTATCCCCAGGGCCCATGGATTGTCACAATAAATTCTGTGAAAAGACATAGTTTGATTAATGTCTACTGCAGGAGCTGAAGCCATAGCTCCATAACACAGAAATACTAACAATCAACTACTGCACTCTGTTCCTTTTACTTGGCAATGTAATAATTTTGTCATTTTATCTGTAGCGTTCGCAGTTGAGCTGATGCCCAGCAGAGCAGAGGGGACTTGGCCAGTCACTGTTGCTGCCCCACAACTTCTTTCCTGCCTTGGCCCCTTCAAAAACAGCAGGAGTAACAGGACTGAGCACAAGCCTCGGAAAGCTGCCAGAAGGCTTTCAGACTCCTGCTGGAAGCTAAAGGAATAGATCAAGCCCATCCCTCCTCCATGACTATTTGTGAAATCCATTCCTTATTTCTCTCAGCATCCTATGTAGCTTATATTTTGACTTGGCAGCTGTTAAGACTTTTGGTGAAATCAGTTTAGCTGTTTACTAGTACACCCTTCCACCCCAGGCAAGAATCTTGACAGCTCAGAAGAGCTTTATAGATAACACAGACAAAATGCTGAGCTCCGAGTCCTGCCATGACCATGGTAAAAATTGTCCCTAGCTTTGAGTGGCAGGATGGATTTTCATGGATCCAGGTGCTTGTCTGATGTAAGTACTGTGCAAGGGATTTTGCCGGCCACGGCCTTCACAGTGGCTACCAGTGGCACCAGGCTGCTGCTGTGGGCTCTGAACATCCAGAAGTCCATGTCTGTTGACTTCATTAAGCTGTATAACATGTATGCCAGCCTGATACAAAAGCTGTTGGAGTTGCTACTGATGTGTACAAGGTTGGCACAGTGTGTATGTGAATAGCCCCAGTGCCACGGGGAATCATTGCTTACCCTCCATGCTGTGAACAGCCGGTGTCTTCAGTGCGTCCCTGGAAATCCCAGGCTGGCTTGCTAACCCTGTGCAAGTGCAGGCTGCAAGAATGTCCCGTGGCTCAGAGAATATTTGTCTTGATACAAAATGAGAGACAATATACAGGCTGTTCGAGAACTACACGGAAATAAAAAAAAAAATATATAGAAGTCAGCTGTTAGTCTTAGCACACGGGCAACTCTAATTTCAGTGCAATTCTGCTGATCTTTATGTGGGCTTATAGGAGAGTAATGAAATAGCTCGCAACTGCCAAGGGCCAAGGAGGGGAAAGCACAAAGTAGTTCATTTGAGAATCAAAGAACTGGGCGATGGAGACTGCTGTGCTGGGTTGACCAGAGGTAGAAGTTAACATCTTTGTGTCAGATGAGAAATGTTAACCTGACTGGGGTATGTACTCAAAAACATTTTGAAAAAGAAGGAAGAATACTGATGTCCAATGTGATTGCATACACCAGCTGCTTTAAATCCAGTATATTGTTGTTCATAAAAACATGCCATTTCATTCTGGACCTCACCTATCCCTAGTGAGGTCAGTGCTGAAACTTTTCTTCCTTTGGGTTCTGCTTTGTCTAGATAAACATACAGAATGTATATAATGAATAAACATTCATTTGAATGATCCCTTCCTGTGATATGAAGATCCACTTGGCATGGATCAGTGGTAGAACGAGGCCTCCAGTGATTCCTGTTAGGCATAGATATTCAGGCTGCTTCCAGAATTTACATGAGATGGATGTTTCCCAGTCTTTCTAACTCTCTTTAAAGAAAATTAATGTGAATTTTTGCAAACGCAGTCTCCTTTCTTCAGCAGGGCAGTACTTAATCCTACGGCTATCACACTCAACATATTCTGCATAAAAGCATGATTTAACTCTGTTTTTAATGGATATTTCTTATGCTGCTTGCCTCGTTGTATCAGTAAACAAGTTCACAAGAGCGCAGCTGTCTTTCACAAATTAACAAGTTCACCCCTGTGTGAAAAGCCAGATCTGCTGATGCACAGCACAGACATGGTGAATAGTGGTGAGCTGGGCTTCTGCAAACGAATTGACGTTGTTTCTTGGAGCACTGCAGCCAGATTTTCTCAGTTTGACATAATAGCCCCATGTAATTCTCCTTTCCTAGCTCTGAGTTACATTTTTGACAGGCTCTGCATGAGGCACTAGACTTGATTCCGACTGATTGAGGCCAAGTAAATCACAAATCATGCTGTCACATCTGGAAATTCATGAGTTTTCAGCTATGTAAAAGTACTTCACTTCTACGAACTGTCAGTTTAAACCATATGTTTGTTGGAAAGAAGATCAAGGTTTGACAAAACCACATTTTCTATTTGTTGGTTTTATCTGATTTAATAATTTTAAAGTAGAAAATATCTTCTCTGAGTATAATGGAAACACTTAAATGAACTGGTTACATTTCCAGTAGTTTAATAATGTACGTTACATTTTATACTTTCACGTAAGGCATATCAGCTTAATTAGAAAAATAAAGCATGAAGCATGACTTGTTCCCTTCTCTCAGTGCATAACTTCAGTGCTTTTAAAAAGCCCAGAAACGGTCCTTTGCTTTTAAAATGCTGTTTTATGTAAGCAAAGGATTTAGCTGTAAATTTGGGTTTGAGTTCTCCTTGTTGCTGTTATTCTTCATGAAGCATCCCAGCTCTCTTCCAGTCCTCAGCCCGTCATTTCTTTTGTACCTCAAATTTTCCACTGCCAGAATGTGTCATCCCTTACCCAGTCAGTTGTCCTGGATTCTTCTGGGTTGGTTTTCTGTGGCTGCCATTGTACATCTTGCTGCCTGTGAGATGATTAATAGAGCCCTGGAAGTCATACATCCCTCTTAATGGCATGTATAGCTAGTACTTTCCTTCCTTCTAGGGAAAGTTTGTATCACACCTGTACTTTTCAGTCAGAGGCTGGACTGAACGCTTTTGCTGGGGCAAATGTAGTAGTAACAGAGATTCCAGCCAGGAGATGGATTAGGCACGGCAGTAATATGGAAGCAAGGGCTCTGAGTGAGAGCTGTTTTCTGTACAGAGTTGTGGAGACAACTGTCTGATGTACATGTATTGAGCAGACCATCTCCCATCTTTCAGGGGAAATACTATAGGCTGCTTGGCTAGTTTTTACTTCCTTATCAGGATATTTTCACACAAGTTAATTAGCAATATCCAGGAATCAGAGGGATATTTGGGGCTTTTTAACATATTCTTGTAACATTCCTGTGGCATGACACAGTAACAGCTATTTTTCCTATGACATCCTGCAGGCAGTGTCTGTGTGACAAGAAAACCATTTAACAATGAAAAAATTCACCCTATTTGATTTTGTAAATGATAATTCACTACAAATTGGAGAGACTTCTTGGATACAGGACCTTCCCAGTGATGACAATGAACTAGAAAGACTTCTGAAACCAAATGAGCACGTGCTAGTAAACTGGCCTGTGGGAGAAAGAAAGACAGAAAAGCACCTGGTGAAAGTTGTGTACATGAGTGGTGAGTGCAATTCCAGAACATTTGTCTGATACGAAATTCGAATCTAGTTGTAAGGTATTGCTACGTGATTTTCTGTGCTTTGGCCTTTTTTTTTCCCATTACTTCAGATGACCCCCAAGAGCTGGTAGAAATGATGCAAAAGATATTACGAGCAGATGAAATTACAAAAATACAAGTCCTTGGAAAAGGCAAGAGGAAGAGGATAGAAATGATATTCTCAGAAAGTGAGGACAGTGACCTGAATAAAGAACAGGTGAGTTTCTGTCTTTATGTGCCTGATATTGGTAGGCCTATATAGAAAAAATAGACTGTAACTATTGATTCTTCACAATATAATACACAACATATGTATAGTAAAGGTAGGAATATGTATAAGAAACATGTTACTTCAGCACAACAACCTGTCAGAGTAATCATTTAGGCCAAAAGATTCTGTCTTTTGCTATTAAAATAGAAAAGTGTTATTCAAGACTTGGATGCTCTGTAGCTCCATTACATTTTCTCCCATAAGACAACAATCTGACCACTGCATAAGAAAGGGAAGGGACCAGGTTTTCTGAGCTTTTCATTGTGCTGAGAGCTGCAATGACAAAATGGAGGGAAAGAAAACATAAATCTTAATAAAAAGTTAGAAACATATTTTTCAAAAATACTAGCCAAGAATATCAAATGCACAGTGAATAAAAGTTTATGGTATACTATGAGATAGTGTAATGAAAGGCTCTATAGGAATGCAAAGGCACTATTATGTTCTTGTTTACAGGGGAAGATGATGAAACATATAAAAAGAAAGAAATCATTGCAGGCTTCTGCTCCTGCCACCATCCTGAGTCAACTTGAAACATCTTTAATTAACAAACAGGTAAACATCTCATCTTCAGCAATTCTAATGTATTAAGCAAAAGCAAACTGAAATGTATTTCTTTAGGGGCATGTAAGAGTTCTGTTTTAGTGAAGCTAACAGTTCTAAAGGATGCTATCTTAGAAAACTGGTGAATGGAGAATGGAGAGAAGTACCTAACAGTTATGTATGATGCTGACATTTCATTTTTAATTTTAATAGGAGTGCTAATAGTAATTCAGTAACAGCTATTATTAAAATGCACCTAGTCTTTTTACACATTCTGTATGCAAAGAAAATATTCAGATTTAGCCAAACATTTTAATGTTAGTTTTAATGTTTTATGTTGTTGTTGCTCTAGATAGCATGCTTTTTTTTTTTTTTTTTCAGAGAGAACCGTATTCAGGAAGCAACTTTCTGTACAGTGAAAGTAGCAGTGATGATGAAGAGCCTTTATTTCAACTATCCAAGGTAGAACTGTGTGCCAAAATAAAAAGTCTCAAGAGGAGGCTGACAGATACCATGAGAGAAAACTGCCGCCTAAGGCAGTCCCTGGTGATGCTTCAAGGTAAAGTCAGGGGAAGTATTTTGATGAAGAGGAAAGCCTGAAGGTCATGGAAAGCTTGATTTATAAGAGGCCATTTGGATGAGAATTATTGATGCTTAAGCACCTGACGTGATCAAGGCCTACCATTAACATCAAAGTCTCTGATGCATGGCAACATTTAGAAAAAACTTATACAGAGGCCATGCAATCATTGAGTTAGAAATTAAAAAATCTGTCTAGATTCTGTCAGTTGTTCCCAAGAGAACCTTTCCATATGCTGTGTATAACCATTAGCTAAGCTTAAACACTCCACTGACCAGTCCAGCTAACCTTATTTATTAGCAGTCTTTCCTGTTCTACTGAAATTTCATAGAATCATAGAATACCAGGTTTTAAGGGATCTCAAGGATCACCTGGTCCAATCTTTCTCGGCAAAATCATGGACTAGACAAGATGGCCTAGCACCCTGTCCAGCTGAACCTTAAAAGTGTCCAATGTTGGGGAATCCACCACTTCCCTGGGGAGATTATTCCAGTGGCTGTTTCATTGTGAAAAATTTTCCTCTTGTGTCCAATCAGAATCTCCCCAGAAGTAACTTGTACCCACTACTCCTCATCTTTTCTACCTGACTCCTTGTAAAAAGGAAGTCTCCATCTTTTTTGTAGCCATCCTTTAAGTACTTGAACATGGTGATAACGTCTCCCCTAAGCCTTATCTTCTCAAGGCAGAACAAATGCAGTTGTCTCAGCCTTTCTTCATAAGTCAGGCTTTCCAGACCTTTGATCATCATTGTGGTCCTTCTCTGTTCTCTCTCCAGTCTGTCCACATCTTTTTTGTATAGCAGAAACCAAAACTGAGCACAGTATTCCAGGTGTGGCCTGACAAACACTGAGTAGAGTGGGATAACGAGTTCTTTCTCTGCCTGTGATGTCCTTGTTGATGCAACCCAGCATCCTACTGCCTTTCTTTGCCACTGCAGCTTACTGTTCTCTCATAATGAGCTTGTTCACCAGGACCCCCAGGTCCCTTTTCACAGAACTGCTCCCCAGCTGGGTAGATCCCAGCCTGTGCTGCATTCCTGGATTATGATTTCCCAGGTGCAAGGCCTTACACTTGTCCTTGCTGAACTTCCCAACGTTCTTGTTAGCCCACTTTTCCAGCCTATCCAGGTCTTCCTGCAGGGTGGCTCTCCCTTCTGAAGTTTCCACTTCCCCACTCAGTTTGGTATCATCATCAAACTTCATCAGGGTGCACTTGATCCCATCATCCAGATCACTGATGAAGATATTAAACAGCATTGGGCCTAACAACCATCCCTGGGGGTCTTCACTTGTGACAGGGTGCCAGTCTGAAAAGGAGCCATTTACCACCACCCTCTGGGTGCAGCCTGCCAGCGAGTTCCCCACCCACCGCACAGACCACTTGTCTAGACTGTAACGCACCAGTTTCTCTAGGAGGGGGCTGTGGGGAACCCTATCAAAAGCCTCGGACAAATCCAGGCAGACAATGTTCACTGCTCGCCCCACATCAACCAAGCAGGTTACTTTGTCATAGAAGTCGATTAGGTTTGTCAAGCAAAATTTGCCCTTGGTGAATCCATGCTGACTTTTCCCAATCACGTGCTTCATTTCACTTGTGATAGCCTCCAGGAGGATTCGCTCCATAACCTTCCCAGGGACTGAAGTAAAATTGACGGGCCTGTAATTGCCTGGATCCTCCTTTAAGCCCTTCTGGTACATGGGGGTGACATGAGCCTTCTTCCAGTCTTCTGGGATGTCTCCTGATCTCCACAACTTCTTAAAGATTATGGAGAGCAGTCTTGCAACAACATCAGCCAGCTTTCAACATCCTTGGGTGGAAAATGTCAGGGCCCATCGATTTGTAGGGGTCAAGCTCCTGCAGCAGTTCACATACCAGCTCTTCCTTCACTAACAATAGGTCTGTGTTTGCATCAGCCTGGATTTTTGGTCCCACGGCCTTGGGCCCAGCAATGCTGGTAAAGACAAAGTGTTGAGAACCTGTGCCTTTTCAGTGGTATTGGTGACTAATTCACCTCTCCTGTTTAACAGAAGGCCAGTATTTTCCTTCAGTTTCTGCTTTTTGTTTACATACCTGAAGCACCCGTCCTTGTAGCTTTTTGACATCTCTGGCCAATTTCTATTCGAGCTGTGCTTTTGCTTTTCTAACTGCATCTGCACACCCTGACAATGTCTTTGTAGTTCTCAACAGGTATTTGTCCATTTTTCCATCTCTGCTGCTTCTCTCTTGGTTTTGAGCAGACTCAGAAGCTTGCAGTTAAGCCAGGGGGTCTCTTGTTCTGCCTTCTTCCCTTACCTCCGAAGGGGATGAACTGTTTTTATGCTTGCAGGGGAGCATTCTAGAAAAACTCCCAGCACTTGCTAGCTCCTTTAGCATCCATGGAACCCTCCCATGGAATCCCTCCCAGCTGAGCCTGGAGTGAGTTGAAGTTTGCTCTTCTAAAATCTAAAACCTTTGTCTTAGTACTAAGCTTCAGTGTGCTCAGCAGGATCCCAAACTCCATGATGTTGTGATTACTGCAGCCAAGGCTATTGCTAACCGAGATATTACAGAGCAGGTGTTCTTGGTTTGTGAGTAGCAAGTCCAGCAGTGCCTCACTCTTTGTTGGCACATCTAACATTTCTATGAGGAAGCAGTCCTCTACACAATCCAGAAACTTGATGGATGACATGTGAACTGCTGTATTGTTCTTCCAACAAATGTCTGGGTACTTGAAGTCACTCCTAAAAAACAGGTTCTGTTGACAGAGAGCGTGATTCTTTCTCCTCTTCTTCCTTGCCTGTCTTTACAAAAGAGCCTATAGCCATCCATCGTGATCCTCCAGTCTTGTGAGTTGTCCCACCACTTTTCAGTTATTCCTATAATAACTTTCTGACTGGGCATAGAGCTCCAGTTCCTCCTGTTTGTTCCCCAGGCTGTGTGTATTGGTATACTCAATGTTGTACTCAAGGTGCTTGGTCTTTTGGTTCACATCTTGGAAGGCAGCTAAGGAACATCTGTGGCTGCTCTGGTTGGCCTGGCTTATTCCCCAGTTGGTTGTGATAGCGTGAGTGTTGCCACTTTGGACCCTGCTCTCTGAGTCCTGCAGTTTAAAGCCTGCCTCACTAAGTTGGCCAGCCTGCTGCTGAAGATTCCATTGCCCCTTCTAGACAGGTGGATCCCATCCCTCCCTGGTAGGCTATAGTCATTGAAGAATGTCCTATTGTCATAAAAACCAAAACCCTTACAACAGCACCAGGCACAAAGCCAGAAGTTGATTTGCATTATACATCTATTTCTGGCTGCACCCCTGCCTCTAACTGGTAAAATGGAAGAAAATACAACTTAGGCACCAATAATTTTCGCTTGCACCCCCAGGGCTTTGTAGCCTTCCTTGATTCTGCCCAGGTTCCAGCTTGCAGCATCATTCGTGCCCACATGAAAGAGTAGCAATGGATAGTAGTCTGTGCTCTTGACAAGTTGTGGCACCCTTTTGGGAACATCTCAGACCTTATCTCCCAGAAGGCAGCATAGCTCTCGTGACTCCCTGTCAGGGTGGCACATGGGTGCCTCAGGGCCCCGCAACAGAGAGTCACCCACCATGAGCACTCGTCACTTCTTTTGCAGAATCCACTGTGTGCTGCTGGTACAGTTGCTCCTTGCAGACCTTGCTCATGGGTGTCTGCAGCTGTTAGAGCTTCATATCTGGTTTTGGTTGTAATGCTGGAGGGTGGGGATTGAAGCAGAGTCCTCCTTTGGTGGGTCACCAGGGTCCAAGGTGCCTCATTCTCTGTGGCGTCCACCACAGGCACATGGTTCTGAAACCACTTACCTATCTCCATCTCAGCCCCTCTGATACTGTGCAGCCTTTTAACTGTTTAGTTTTATTTGTTCTGGAATTATTTGATTTCTAATTGCTTTGATAATTCCTCATTACTGATAATTTGAGTTAGTTGCAGGTGCAACAAATGTAGTCCTTTCCCAGAGGGGAACCATTTTTTTCTTTTATAAATAAATCCTTAGTAATGATCTCTGAAGCCCCTCTTAGTTGTCCCTGTCCCTTACGCTGGGGGAGCCAAGGCTGAATCAAAAATTTCAAAGCATCAATGTATTAATAAAGTTTAAAGAGGATTTGCTCCTTCCCTTGCCAGCTACATCATACCAACCCCAGACAGCCTAGTATCTCTCTTATTTTTTTATTGTCATATAATTTGTCAAATGTTTATTAGTTTCATTGCCCACCTGATTCCATTCCCTGTGTTATTCATCTTGGTTTGAATCATCCATCTGTACCCTTTTGAATATTATTTTTAAAAATTTTGTTAGCGCCTGACAACACTTCTTACACTTTTAGGTCCATTTGCCTTCCATCTTAAGCACTTGTATTGGTCTTTTACAGTATTTTCTGTAATTTGGTGATTCTGTAACTTGCTGATTCTTCATCCCTTGCATCCTTTTTGCTCTCAATTTATTCTTCTTAATGGACTCAATAAAAATTTATATTTGAAAATAAATATTACTTGGAGAAAATGTTATTTGAAATATATTCTCTATAGATTTAAAAAGACGGAAAAAGTCTATGCAGTCTATGTAACTTCTTTGAAACAAAACAAAAAAAAAAGACATAACATTACTTAGCCCATATGTAATAGCTTTACAGACTTGTAGAGGTTTTGAGAGAGCGAAAAGAAAAAGAGAAATAGCCTGTGGAGTGCCATGATGGGTGTAAACTAATGGTGCCTCTTAGCCTTGCAGAGAACTGATCTATCATTTTCTAGAAACAGAGGCCAGATCTTATGGGTGGGGACAGCAGAATGTCAGGAAAACATTTGAAAGAATAGGGAAAAAAATATGTTAAAGCATATTCGCTGAGTACTTTGACACTTTTGCATTACGTCAGGAATTTAATTGCAAAAACATACATGCTTATGTAATTAGAGTCTGAAAGCTTCAATTACTATTTTACTCCTCACTTTCCATTTGATTTCAGTGTTGCCACAGGCAGTCACCCATTTTGAGGAACTGGTAGGGATGGCTGAAGCACTGCTCAAAGGGGGAGTGACATCATCTACGTCCAGTCTGCATTCACATGCTGTTTGGAAAGCATCTAACAATCCATTAGCAGATTCATATGCAGCTATGCATAGTAACTCCAGCTCACCAATAACTTTGAATGTGGAAGATGAGGAGCAACAGACTGAAAAACAGGTCAGTTAAAAGGCAATTTCAGGCATAAAAATTAAAACTTTATACAATACAAACTTTACTGCTATAGTATAACAAATATCAAAAATAAGCATCAGTAAAAATCAATGTTGTCATCATTCAGCTGATGACATGGCTAATGAGCTTCTTTTGTGCAGAAGGCTCTTTCCATGAGAAACCCTAGACTTAATTCAGTGTGCTGGTACACTCTCAAACTCGCTTTGCTTTTGGTGGCTTTGCAAATCTGTGACTAAGGGCAGAATGTGGGTGCACAAAGAAAATACTGCGATCCAGGGATAACTTTCAGCCTAATGTTTTGGATGCCAAAGGGGCATGGTAGTGTTTCAGAGATAAGCTAAGAAAAATATCAGCAGTCTGTTTAAACTGTAAGAAGTAAATGGAGAATGGTATGTTTCTGCTCTTGTTCCAGACACGAGCCAGTAGTTAAGTAGAAATACATACATATATAAATACCAAGTAAAGATGTTCTCCTATTCTCTGTACTTCTGAGAGCATAATTGGGAAATCTGAGGCACAGAGGCTGTACATGAAAAATATAAAGATGAAAAATATAAAGATACAACCAAAATATTTTTTCTAGCTTCTGCATTCGCAATTGACATAAACATTCTTATACACTGAGTCATGTCAGTCAGTGAAAATCATTCTCGTGTGTTGTCAGGGGGTCCTAAAAACCGAAGAAATCTATTAAGAAGTATCAATGTGTGATGTTTTGACTGAATACTGCAGTACATAAAATTAGACCTAACATCTCCAGAGAAATAAAAAGACCTAACTTTCTAAGCAACCTAGCTTTACTTAATAGAGGTAGCTCAAAATTGCCCATGAGGAGTGTTCAAATGCTTGGGCTGTACGACTGCTGTGTGTAGAAGTGACTCTCAAAGCCCAGGACCAGATGTCACAGTTCTTAGGGCATGTCTGCTTGGAGGCAGGAATATCAGCTTGGGCATACTGCCATGCTCCCAAGGCTGTACAGAATCCGCGCCAGAACTGGACTGCAGCCAGCCTGCATGGAGTGCAAGCAGAAGGATTTAGATATGTCTGAACATGTCCTGTCTCCACTAGTGAGTAATAAAGATCGCTTGGTGAAGTGTTTGCTAGGATGAATGGGGTCTTTAGTCTGCCGCACACTTGCTTCTGAAGAAAAAATCAACCTGCATGCATAGATGCAAACGTTGAGTCCTATGCAAGTTTAGCATTGATCTCAAGCACACAGTTTGCAGAGATTACTTTTGAAATTGTGGTTTAAAAAATATCTCAGATGTAATACTATATAATATTTATAGAGAACTGCAATAGTTATGTCTATGACCAATTTTGTTTTCCAGTTCAAGATCGAAAAGTGGCAGATTGCACTTTGTAACAAGAGCAAACCTCAAAAGTTTATAAATGACTTGATGCAAGCACTTTATACACATGAATACATGGCTACACACAGCCTCACAGGTGCAAAGTCCTCCTCTTCAAAGGATAAAGCGGCAAAACCAGCTATGAATCAGAATGAAGTTCAGGAAATCATAGGTGATGACTTGTTAACATTACTCAATGTGGCACTGACTTGACAGAGGGCTTTCTCTGAGGGAGGGACAGTAATGTTTAACAGCTGGTCTACTCAGGTGATGTGCTGTTTCCTATTTCCTTCTTTGGCTACATACTTTTTTAAACCATCTGTTACAAATACTGTCAGTGAAATGCTAAGTAGTAGAATTTTTATTGTGTGAATTTTGTGGCATTTATTTAAGTGGCTGTTCAGGCACAGTAATATTGTGAATTTTTTTAGCCTCTGAAAGGTTAACTTACAACAGTCAGGCTTGGAGCATGATGATAATGGATAAGGGAAGGCAAATAGAGGACACACTTGGATCAAATTTAAAATTATGTCTGCTATATTCCGAAGTTAGTGAATGTTATGAATTCTGACATTCGAAATAGCGCTGGAGGCAAAATGAGACAATAAGTATAGAAGACAGGAATAGTGATCAGAGAAGCAAACAAAATTTGTTTTATACTGAGGTTTAAGGCAGAAAATGCTGGGTGCATAGAAAAGAGAATCATTTCAGATGGAAGTAGCAGCATTAAAGAAAACAGTATATTGTGAGCACATGAAGCCAGATTTTTACTGGATTCACAGTTATAGCTTAATACTTGAGGAACATAGCCTAAATTCCTGTACTAGAACCCCTCCCCCATTGCCATTCCCTTGGACTTCCCCAGTTCTCTGGGTTCGCTTCCCAGCTTAGCTCCTGTTCCTGTACCTTGGTCCAGTTTTGTGGAAGTCGAAAGCTGCAAATTGCAGAAACCTCTTTTCCTTAAGAACCTAGCTGGAGAAAAAGGCCCAAAGTCAAGGGAGAGAAAAGGAAAGTGTATGTAAGATGGTGAAAATATATTTAGAGGTGGTAATATGAGACAATTTCAGAATGATGTATGAGAAAAATTTAAAACATTTAATGCGAAGAGAAGAATGGTTGGGCTCAATGATCTTAATGGTCTTTTCAACCTAAATGATTCTATGAATCTAAGAGCTACTAGTGACTTTTCTAAAGGTGGATTCTGGGGAAGGGTCTAGGCAAAACTGAGAAGGGAAGCAGAGAAGATAATCAGGACATTGAATACAGCATGCTGTGGGGAATTCAGTGACAAAGGGGAGCCTATAGAGAAGCCAGAGATGACTGTTAAGGGAAATGATAACACTCCAGGATTCGAATAGAAAAGTGTCAACATTATACAAGAGAAAAAGAAAAATAAGAAGCAAGCTTGGGATTTAGTAGATGAGATTATGTAAAGATGGAAACTGTAAGACTTCAAAATTAAATTAAAGGGGGAAAAAAACCAAGGAAAGATATTGGAGAAGAGGGGAACAGGAATTGCATACCTGATGTTGAGTCCTGTTAGCATTGCATTCAAAACAGCTGGGCAAAACAGAAAGGACATTGTTAGGGAAAGAGACAGCACCTGCAAATACAAAATAATGAACAAAACCTGTAAGATTCAGAGGTATAAGGACTGATGAGGATAGGAAAAGGACTCTGATCAAGAACAGAGCAAAGGCAGAGAGGATGAGAAAGTCACACATTACTCACTACAGGAAGCCCTTGTGGCCCTGGAGTTCCCTTTGAGTGTTCCAAGAACAGGCACAGCAATATGGAAGGCACAGAGAAAAGCAAGAGCTGGCATGTGCAAAATCTACGAAGTTGTGTGTGAAAACATCGAAGTAACTTGAGCTGAAGCTGAAGTAGCTGGAAATTTCAAAGATGCAAGGAATGCATTTTAAATCACACATTTGTTGTTTCCCTGATTTGGAGGCGTTATATGTATCATCTCTTTATTTTGCAGGAATCACAAAACAGTTGTTTCCAAACACAGATGATGCTTTAATTAGGCGAATGATGGGACAAAAACTGAACAATTGCACCAAGAAGCCAATTTTAAGCAAAGATCTTAACTCAGGTGCTTTTCAGAAGCATAGTTTTTGGTAAGTCTTAAAAAAAGAATTGCAGCCTGCCATGTGTAATTCCTTATATTACTCTATGGTAACAAAATCTAAAAGCAGTCTTAAAATTATCATAAAGGTATGTGTTCATACGTGCATTGCCAAATAGGTAAATATTTTCATAACCTTATACAAAAATTCAGAAGCAGTCCAGCTTAACATTACAGCACAAAAAAGGTCGTTCATTCTAGACAAAGAAGCACAAGGCTATTAAATTACAGGAGAATACAGAAGTAAACAAACACATAGAGTTGCTTTGATCAATATGTCTATTTTCGATTTGGCATTATTTACTTTCCTTATCATTCTCTGTAGGCTCTCCAGAGACCAGTCAATTCCATTTTCATGTCACCTGTTGTGCCTCAATTAACCCACAAGCAAAGATAAGGAAAAATCACATATCGTTTGTACCTACTGATGAAAGTACTGTAGGAGAGCTAAATTAGCAGTCTTTTACCACCAGAAAAGACTAAATTGGGGCAGAGAATTATTAAATAACATCTTGCTTGTTATGGGCATTCTTACCTTGTAAACAAGACTAGCCTAAAATTAAACTAATTTCTGTCATCACTGAAGTCAGCTATTTGCATAGTACTGTTTCCACATATACCAGATGTACATATCACAGAATAGTCAAGGTTGTGAGGAACATCTGTAAATTGGCTAGTCCATCCCCTGCTGCTCAAAGCAGAGTCACCTAGACCAGGCTGCTCAGAGTCATGTACAGTTCAGCTGAGTATCTCCAAAGATGGAGACCACAACTTCTCTGGGCAACCTGTTCCAGTGTTTGCTCACAGTGAAAAAGTGTTTCCTGATGTTCAGATGGCACCTCCTGTGGTTCAGTTTCTGCCCATTGCCTCTGGTTCTGCCCCTGGGCACCACTGAGAAGAGGGTCCATCTTCTTTACACCCTCCCATCAGATATTAATACAAATAGATAGGATCTGCTTGAGTCTTCTTGAGGCTACCATGTCCCACCTCTCTCAGCCTCTCCTCAGGAACAGGATAAAAGATTAACAAGGAGCAGGGTAAGAGATAAAAAATCAGTGGGATGGTGTCATGGTTTGAAGCTGGCTGGTTCAAGCCCTGCCTCCAGACAGACAGGGAAAACAGATTTGTCCTTACTTACACTTTCCATACTGAAGGAATAATTTATTTCTTCTTAGTTCAGTTATCTTGTGCATGTTTTAAAATTCATATTTGCAACTGTGAGACATGTCATAATAACAAAAAAAACAAATCAAACCAAAAAAAAAAAACACAAAAAAAAACACGAAATAAAACCACCCCAAGATATTTGACTATGTTATGACACAATTGTTTGAAAAGTAGCAGTGCTTTCCTGCTAGAATTCCTCTCTAAGCCACCTGGTAGTACTCCATGGACCACCAGTTGTCTGTGAATTACTACTTGAGAAATACTCGGATAACATCTATTGGAAGAATCCACATACACAAGTTTTCCCATCTGGAAACAATAAACAAATACACCAGCATGGCTAAAATAGTTTCCTATGTTAATGCGTTTTTCCTAGAGATGAGAAGGTTTTGTAAAACAAAGGTCCTCTGTATTTGTAACATACAGTGTGCATTGATTCACTGTAGCATTTTTCCTTGTCCTTGATACAGGTGGTAAAAATAACAGCACAGAAACACAGACTCTGTCTTCTTAGAAAGTATTAAATATGAAATATATTTAAGATCTTTATCTTCACCAGATGAATCCATAAATTTTGCTAATTCCTGAGTCTTCTCATGTACAGACACAATATTCCTGACACCTTGATGGGAGGATCTTGAGCTAGCACTATAACAATTCTGGCTTGTTTTTTAATATCACCTATAGACCTTTCAGTTTAAACTTGATATCTTAAAAATGCCATTGTATCTGTTACTGATAAGCAATTATATAAAATCCAGTCCTTTATCCATTGAAACCAATGCAAATATTGCCTGCATAGTCTCTCTTGAATGGATGCTTATTAGAATGAATTTCCAATGGATTCATTTTACGTCTGTTCAGAATTTCCTCACTGTAAAAGCATTTAAGCACCTTATAAGTAATCAAGATAATGGTGGTGACCCTTTAACACAGATGACACAAGTTTTCTCTGTAAGAAAATTAGAATTTAAAAGTGCTCATACTCTCACTGTTACTCCTTCAGTTCACCTTCCAGCAATGAAGTACAGAGAGGGGTCAAGAGAAAATCCTATTGTGCAGTACTTTTAAAAACAAATTACACACAAGTTATTAACGTTTAAAACTGGTGATACCGCAGTTTTGATTTCCTCCCTTGCTGCTTTTCCTTCTTGCCTACCTCCTCCACCTTTCCCAAGAATACAATTATGATGCAAGAGAAGGAATTTGGAGTCAAATCCAATGAGACAATCACCATCTCAGATCCATAAGGCTGAGGTGAAACAAGGAAAAGGAGAACGTGTCAGTGAACTAGTTAACTATCTAATAAACAAACTGCTGCTTGGAAACTAAGAACAGTAGTAACTGCACATTTAATGTTAGTATCTTAAGCTTAGATATAAATTGTCTCAACAGTGGTTCAACAGCTGCTTCTCAGGGCATCATCTCTTCAGCCGTTCCTCCCAGTACACAAGACCAGCAGAATGATGATTCACCAGCTGCTAATGAACAAATTCAGCAAAGTGACAGCCATCTGACTCCTCCACCTCCCACCCCACAAGGTCAACAGGAATGTTCCAAGCCTACTTCTTCTAAGATGGAGTTTCATCTCACCAGAAGCTCACTGGCACCCTCTCCCACCCAGGGTTGTGGACAGGATCTCAGGAATTCAGACAAGGAATAACAGAAGGTATTTCATACCAGTTCAAATTCTCAATGGAGATAAAGAAGTAGCATAAAAAAAAAAAAAAAAAAAAATCGAAAAATGGGCCTAGCAACAGCGGACAGAGATACTGCAATCAGAACAGAAACCTGAGAACCATTTTCCGAAACAAATTAAAATCCCACAGCCTAGAAAAAAAACGAAGGCATATTAATATCTTTGGCTTTAAGATATTATTAAACATATGCATGTTATGCAGTAATTCAAAAAAATATAAACTTGTTCTGAAGAATATAAGTAGACTTCCCCTTAGTTAGAAAAAAACATTATTTAAAGTAATACCAGAAGAATGTATAAGAGGAACCTTAATCCCCTTGCTTTCACCTTGACAGCTGATGGAAAACCGCTTTACTGATCAGAGAAAGCTATTGCATACTAATACAGAAAAGATATAGAGGTATGAAAACAGAAAGATTTCCTAGCGAAATGAAGACTATGGCCAGCACAGGGTTAGAAAGCACAGGACCACATGAGCAGAGAAGAAGAAATAAAACAGATACTTAAGGATGCTGTTAACCTGGAAAGAAGAAAACATTCTTAGGGCAATGAAACTGCAATTCTCAAGATGTCTGCAGGGAAGCAGCAGCTCATTTTTAACCTCTTAAAATTGGAAAGGCAATGAAAGAAGCCAAGGAAGAGTCCTCCAGGGCAGCCTGTTTAGCTGTGGAGACCGTGGCTTCTCTCACAGGCCTTCTGCTGCTGGTGCTCTGCTGGTTTGGCAGCTCTCACTCTCTCTTCTTTCCTGAACATCAGGTCCACAGGATGAGGGTGCCTGATCCCTCCAATTTGGAAATGGAGGAAAATCTCTTGGAAACAACTAGTGAAGGGCAGAGTTGCCAGCCTCTACTCCCTTGTGTTTTGATTTGGGTATACTACCTCTTGCTTAGAGAGAGGGTGGACAGGTAGAGCATTCCTCGTGGGACTGGGACCAGAAAAATGACAGTAATTGGCAGTTCCTCTTGAGATCTGACACCACTTGTCCCAGGGAGCCACTGGCAATCATACACCCCGTAATTGCCTGAGGAGGAGGAGGGAAGGTACATTTTTTTTCCTCTCAGACTGATTCCAGGTTTACAGTGTGCTGGTAGCATGGGAAGGAGAGAACACTTGGATTATAGCTTTCATGCTTGAGTGGACTTCTCCCAGAACAGAGAGTACTAATAGTTAAATCTATTTCATACGTGGCAAACAAGCAACTAAGGAATCAAGGTGAAAAAAACCCAACCAACATAAAGTTGAAGAAATCTAGCTTGATTTGAGGATTTCTATAACTCAGATCTGAGTTACAGAAATAAATTTGAAATGGTATTAGGGTGAATGCCAGGAAAAAAACCTGAAGATAAGGTTAGCAGCCAAATACCTCTAAAGGGAAGTGCTGCAAACCCAACTGTACTAGAACAATGCACTAATAAAATGCACTGTGGTAAAGATTTGTGTAGGCTGGGGTAGGAGTGATCTGCTAGCCTTTTTCATCTCTCATGTCTATCAATTCCTTGTAGATAGGATCAAGATGAAAGCAGGTATGAAATAGAAGTTCTATCTCATGTTATTAACTACCATCTATAAATGTAACAGAAGGATGGTTGCTATTATGTACATTTTGTATATGTAATTGTATGTACAGCATATAAAAATGTATATAGCTAATCATATTTTTGAAGCAACTTTCTATCAAATAAAATGAAACATTGCTATGTCTTTGTTCTATTTTATTGTCCTTACTGCCTTCTGGGCCTTTTCTTACATCAGCCTCTGTTGTACACTCTAACATGTAAGGCTGGGTTTTTTTCTTTCACTCACTTGGGGTTTTTGTCTCTCTTTTTCTTTAATAACTGTTCTGAAGCCAGCTTCTGTAAAGCTTGCAATTTTTAGCTGGGGAAAGGGTTGGCCCACGTTACAAGGGCTCTCCAACCTTACAGTTGTCACAGCTGATACTGCACAGTTGCAGCTGTTCTGCTGTTCGGGAGGTGTAGAAGCACTTGGGCAGGTACACGGAGCCAAACACGAGCGGCTGCTTTCCCTGTCACTGGTGCAGCACTGCAGATCACCCTGTACTATCTGCTTGTCTAATCTGCTGACCAGGTAAGTTGTCAAAGGAACATCAGTGGGGCTGGCAGATCACCATAAGTAAAGGAGAATGTTCATGGTAGGGTGAAGGGCTTACTCCCAGCCACGGGCCAGGGAGAGAGATGGATGTTCTGCATGAAGAGAACATTAGAGAAAGACATTTTAATGTTTTAAAAAAGGGTAAAGAGGAAGCAAGCTGCAAAGAGCCAGTACCTTCCCCTCAAAGTACAGGACTGATATTCCACTGGATACCAGGAGATAAATAGCTTTTACACAACTACACAGTTAACAGAAAAGCCATACTCTTTGCAGTATCACCAAAAATGAAGAAAATACAACTGCTTTTCCAAAACAACCCTGACAAACTCTGAGAACACAGAATTGAAGACTAGATAATCACAGATTAGAAACTTCAGAAGTAACAGAAAGAGAGGAGCGCAGAACAGTCTAATGCTGCTTCTCCCAAAATTTGCACTAAAATCAACATTAATTGGTGATAAGTAAATGTGTGGTGTCATGAAGTACAGAATTCTGATATGAATCACAGAAGACACATTATTTGCATTACTCAAAATTGGAGAAGGCTGACAGCTACTGCAGAAAAACTTAACAGCTATATGACTGTACAGCATTTAGTAACCAGAGATTTAGCACTGAAAAGGTAAGCAATACTAAACCTAGTAATTTGAACTATTTGCTTCTATTACAGCATTTTAGATGGAATTTGAAGATTACCATGGAAAATAATTTGGTCATTATTTATTATGAACTGCTCAGAATGGGATAAAAAACCTACTGAAAAAGTATACTATTGAATAAATCAGGGGGTTTAATGCATGTCAAGTTAATCTGCCCTCTTGTTATGGTATATAGATAGGAGTCAAAAAGCCCAAACCACCAGACATCTAAATTTTCTATATCAGGACTAAGTGGCAGTATGCAACGTTGAAACAAGAGGAAAATTAATGGTTAAAAAGGCAATGTTTCACTGACTTTAAGGAGCAAGGAGAGAAACAAAGATGTTAAAATATATTTAAATTCTACAAACGAAAATTAATAAGGACACATAATGAATATGTAGATTTAGTTGCTGGAGAGCATTACTGAGTTTAGAAGTCAATCTGCTCAGAAACAGTTTTCACATCCTGTGTGATACCCAGACTTCGTTTGGAGGTTTGGACTTGGAGACCTTAGTTCATGAAGAGCAGACCATGAGTACCCCCTGCCCTTCTAGGTTTGTCTGCTCCTATCTTCGGCAATCAAATGCCTGCATTTTAAAAAAATTGCCTACTGTCTTACCAAGTTTGATGGTGAATGTGACTTGCAGGTGACCCACCAGCCAAGAAGTACAGCAGGCTATATCTTTCCTCTTCTCTGTGAAACAAACTCTGCAGAAGGACTTGCCTAAGCTTACTCAAATGGAGAAGTCTGTGCTTTCCCAGGAATTAGCTGAAATACACAAATTTTGAAATTCAGAGTTTTGTTAGCATATTGGAAGTGCTGACATTATTGCATGGCAATTCCCTTACTATTTTTTTTCCTTAACTGTGTCGTTTAAATACAGGGAGGATGTTTGGTTGGGACACTGCAAGAGTAAACATTTACATGAATTACTGCTGAAAAATTCATATTCAAATGAGTGTCATTTTCACAGGGTATCAGAGTTTGGAAAAATAATGTCACCTTGCTGTTCTAGTAACTTATTCCTGTTGCACTTCATATTATCTATTCTCAAGAATCAAAAGTAATTAAGTGCAAATGCAAGCTACAAACAGAATGGCTGCTATCAGTGTTCTATTAGCAAGTTTAAGTTATAAATGCAAAATATGAAAGTTTAGGCTTTGGCTTTAATTTTCTGGGTGGTAGTCAGGTTTCCGTTATTTTAACAATGAAATAAAACTGCTCAAATCAGTGTTGTTCATGCAGTCCAACAGCAGTGATTAAGTGGTACAAATTTGTTAACGAGTGTATAACTAGTATAAATAACTAGCATTGCAGTCTATCTTCTATCATAAAGCTATTTTTTCATTCACAGACAGAAGGAGGCTTAAAAGTAAATTACTAACAGTAACTCTGTATTTACAAGAAAAATAAATCCATTAAAAGAGTGCTGACATTAAATACCATGTGATATGTTATTTCTGATAGTTGTTTATTCACAAAGATCCCATAACATAAAAATTTAACACGCAACCCTCAGTACCCTCTCTCCTGTGTGTACAGGATTTGATAAGCACACACCAGCAAAGTGCTTTGTTTGTGTGCAAGCAGCTCTTTTATATAGACACACAACTCAAAGGTGACATTTACAATGTTCCGCTTACTTAAAGCCAATGCATTGAATAAAGATGATTCATACCCAACTTTTACTTCGGGTGGCTCAAAGTAACTATATGCTGAAGCAGGAGAGCAGTAGCAGATAAACAGCAAGAATCGTGGGCATGGAGGCCCAAGCGATGTTTCCTTGACCCTGCCAGTGAGGGGAAATGAGGAGAAGGGCACTAACAGAAAAACTCAGTAATTGGTTGCAGAACTGGTGTTGATGACAAGGTTTTGAGTTGTATGACCACGGGATCCTGCTTGCAGATCGTCGCCTGCTTGAAAGAGATGAGATTCACCTCACTAAGCAGGGCAAAATTATTTTTGCCAGGAGGATGGCTGACCACATAAGGAGGGCTTTAAACTAAGAATGGAGAGGGAGTGGTTGAAGAGCAAAGGGCATGGAGTGATATGACAGGAACGGAACACAAAATCAACAAGATGGGGCTTAAGTGGGGTCACCTCCAGCACCTGCATGTAAGCAAGGAAATGCCTACAAGGTACTGTGATGGAGAAATCCTCCAATCCCTTTCTAGGCAGTCAACATGCTGGGGTGCCTCTCTGAAGTGCCTGTATACTAATGCATGCAGTATGGGGGGAATCAACATGATGAGCTAGTCTGTGTGCAGTTGCAGGGCTACGATCTTGCTGGGATCACAGAGACATGGTGGGATGGCACCCATGTCTGGAG